TCGAATCATCCCGGACCTTCGAAAACTTGGTCAAACCTTCCGGGATTCGACTTAGACTCTAATCGGGTACTGGTCACTTGATGAACCGGTCTGGACCGGGTCTAGGCCGAATTGGACTGTTGAACACAAGCTAGGTCAGGTCTAGTCGCGTCTGGGTCGCTGGACGCTGTCTGGGCAGTGCGCTGGGTCGCTAGGGACGTGCGGGCCTCGCATTGGGCCGCTGGGAAGCATGCAGACGCGCGGGCTAGAGACTACGAAGAAGACACAGGTTTCGCTCGCCTGACTGCTAGGAGACGCCTGAGCGGGCTGCACGACATGGTCACGGGCCGCTTGTCTGCCTCCGCGCGCTCTTGGCCTGTCTTCGAAAATTGTGGGCCAAGGACGGGGCTGCCGACGACTGAGCGCCACCAATGCGCGGCTGGGCTGCGGCTGGCTTCTCCAAGGTCTCCGATTGTCGTCTATTACCTAGGAACTTCTCTGGTTGAATTTGGATGATATCCGACGGCTTCTAGATCTTCACGGTTTGTGTATATATATTTTATGGGGTTGGATATATATATATATATATATATATATATATATATATATATATATATATAATTTTACCATTAATTACCTCGAATCTTCTGTTATGTGACCCAACATCTTCTCCGATCATCTTGGTGGGCGATGAAATCGGAGATATCTCTACTGTAATTACTTGGAGAAGAAAAAAAAAAAGAGAAAAGAATAGATAGAGAAGAGGGGCAGCGTGTATTTCACGTGAAAAGCTCTCAGTCTCATCTAATTGATGTCTCATAATCTCAAGAGATGTGATGTATATATAAGCTACAACAGGACCCTAAGGTGGCATTAAAATGGGCTTCTCATACTAGGACTAGACTATAGGCCAAGCCTACCAAGCCCAAGTATGAATAATACAGTCATTCCACATAAAGGAAAATTATTGAATAAACTCTCAATTTTATTCCCGAATTATATTCGAGGCCCCAATAATAATTACTCGATTTATCTCACCGTGTTTAAGGTATAAGTTTATCAATTAATTCGATTACTGACAATCAAGAATTAATTGACTTCTTCAACCGAGACTAGTACCATTTATATCTTTATTATTATGTCGGAATAAATTTCACTGGCCAGAATTAACATAATAATCATACATGAGCTCATCTCGGGAAAATCAACAAACTATGCACACAGTGACCTTAAATTCGAACAACACATTGTACATGCAGTACTATTACCCAAAACATCTGGAATGTTGATCCAGCTGAATGAATCTCACCTTTTGTGAATCAAAGCAATAGATACTACATGTACATGCATGTTTATATCGTACGGGTTAATAGCACACGGTTATTAACCGATGCCTAGTTTGTTTACGATGATCAGTATAAAATAGACTTCCCCTCACTACACTAGTGTAACTGATCAATCAAGACAAACTGTACAATTAACACTACAGCCGTTCACGATGGGTTGTTCATTTCCATGTAGGTTGTGAATAAAACATTTATGTTTCACAAGTAACCGATATATGATCTTCTGTCTCATTCGTGATGGACTACAATATCCACATGTGAAACATTAGAAGATAAACTTGTTTAATTAAACATGATCTTCATTCAAACTAGATAAGTGCAAATACATCTAAAGTAAAGCTTTCAGTATATACACCAAAAACAACTGAAAATGAACTGTCGTATTAAAGATAATCAAGTGGTTGGGATTAATAAAGTATTTGTTAGGTGCAAAGAATGAGACAATGTGATTTACGGAAAGGTGACGACAACCCGACGTTTGGGATTGATGGATAAGGTTCGAGTTTTATTGACCCCTTCACTTCTTTAGTACTGGTAATATTAGTCTATCAGCTCCACTCATACAAGTCAACTGAGTTCCAGTCGAGATATAAAGTACTGGCTCACCTGCGATCATACCATTGAATAGGTTTCCCATGGCTCGTGCATAAATCGGTGCAGTGATCATGGTTCTGATATGTTGGCATGTTTTTGTTTGTAGTGTTTTTACTGAGTACGATCGTAAAGACCAACCGGGTTGTCTCACGAAGGGAGGCTATTCATATACGGATTCAAACAATGATTGATTCATACAAAATGGAAAATAAAGGTCCTAAACACTCTACTCACAATTTTGAGGGTTAATTAAACTAAAGAATTGTACACTAGAACGAAAGCAAGATTCTAACCTTAACAAACGAGACACAAACTTTATCTCAAGCAAGACCTCAAGTTCCAAAAAAAAAAATAACTAAGCACCCTAAGTCCCAAGATGGAAAGAATGCATTCAAAGGTTTGAGAACATGTAATCAAACAATCGTCACTTGCGAATCAACTAATAGAGCTCTCAATCAATTCTCGCTTGTGCAATCAACAACAAAATCATATAATTCATTGCCTACAAGGATGATAACATATTCTACTCATGAAAGATCCTACCTTTATCTTAGAAAATTCAATAAGCAAAGACAAGATTAAATTACGAGATCTTAGACCTTAAACTAAGTCTCCATGTATGCTTCCACTAGAAAAAATAAGCCAGAAAGTTGCAATCTTGATGGAGAAATATTACAATAAAGATTGTGTCTTAGATCACTTAGAGAGAGAAAGAAAGGGGAGAGAGCGAGAAAAACTAAGAAGATAAAATTTTGCAAATGAAGGAATGATGCTCAAAATACAAGAACTCAAGTCTATTTATAGTTCCACCATAAACACACACTAAAGCAGGTATATTTAATTACACGGGCTCGCGACTCAACGAACGAACATTGGTGGGCAAGTGCAACATGGGAAACTCGCGTGCTCGCGAATGATGGGCAAATGCAGCAAGCTTGGTTGGAGAACTCGCTTGCTCGCATAATGGAGTTGGCGGGTGAGTGCAGCTGGCCTGGCTGGAGAACTTGCGAGTTCGCGGAATGGAGTTGGCGGGTGAGTGCCGACTGGCAAGGTCGCGGACAGGATTTGACGAACGAGTGCAGGCTGGCGCGGTCGCAAACACGATTTGGTGGGCGAGTGCAGGCATAGGCTGGGCAAATCCCCGGCTGTGTAATGCCCGTTGGCGGGCAGTTAGAGTTGGTTGCTTGGTGGAACTCGCGTGCTCATGAGTTGTGGCTCGGCTCGAGCTCGCGGGGAGCTCAGCTTCTTTCATGAAAATTCATGCTCGTTCGAACAAAATTCTTAGCTCTTTTCTGTAGATTTTTCAATGACTTCTGGAGTACATTTTTCCTAAAAAATAAAGTTAAAAAGAGAAATAAAAGTACAAGACACCAAAACGACACGAAAATTACAAAAAGCAAGCAAAAACGTCTGAATGTGTTGGGAACAACCTAAAATAAACTAAAATGAACACAAATAAAACACTTAAAAACATATAATAGCAACAAAAACATACAAAATAATTTCAAAATTCAAAAAGACAGACCGGGAGAAGGGTCGAAAAACGCAGAAAAAGTAGCTAGTTGGTTGAAGTGATATGGTGAAGTCAAATTAAAGAATTCGAGAATGGACAAGTTGAAGAAAAAGAAAGTAAGAAATGCATTAACTAAAACCAATGACAAGTCTACTCTTAGATCGTGTTATTTCTAACTCGACCAGAGTGAGGGGGGAGGGACTAGATGATATGGGATACAGAACCCTGGTAGAGTAAACCCAATAAATCAGTCGACCAAGACAAGAGACTCGGTTGGCCGAGCAGGACAACAGAAAGGCCGACGATTGTCAAACATTACTGGCGCAGGACAGGAACTCTTCAGGTCGGAGATAGTACAAAAGGGTACATGAAGACAATGATAGATCGAGCTAGGGCCCTCGAATGACCTATTGGAAACTCGACCTGTCGGTATGAAGGGTCACGCGATCGACAAGAGATGACAACACTTGGTCTCAGAACAGACAATGTTCTACTTCAGTGGACATCGAGTTGGTCGCATTATTAGATAGTCTAACAGGAAAGACTACAGGATAAGAAGAAATCTTAAAGAGTTAAGAGTCGCACATGGATAGGGTCACGTACGTGGCCTAACAGGATTTGTCAGTTCGGGCAAATCGGGTTGTACTATCGGGCAGTTTGGGCAGCTCATCCAAGTAGTCTTAGGCAACAAGATATCACCTCCCCTATATATATAAGGGAGTGAGATATGTTTGTTATCACATTATATTCTCTATTATTCATATAGTATTTTCTGCACTTCATCTCATATAAGTACTAATTTAAGTATCAGAGGCTCTTCATCAGAAAACACTCCGGTGTGACAGTTTTTACAAGTGTGTAGGCGATCTACTAGCGAGAAAGCTTAAGTTCATACCAATTTCAGCCGTTCGAAGTCTTTTGCATACTGACAATATTATTATTATAGAGAAATACTATAGTCCCGTAGGGGAATAGTTCCCTCAATTCAATTAAAGTCATTAGATCTTTTAGTTTTGATATAGACCCTTAGAACATTCACAATGTTTTGAGTTCAATTAAAAAAAAATGTATTGTCACTAAAGAAATAGATAAAATTAATAAAATTCACTCCAATGCAAAGAGACTAAGTCTCTACTTGGGTCTCACATCAGTAGGACCAAGTCTACTTTTGTTTGCATTGAAAAATATATTTTTTTAGGCTAGGTGTATTTTCTTGTGGCATACAATTTTTGTATGATTAAACCTATTGTGGATGGTTGTGAAACAAATTTTCCATTACTATAGCGCAACACTTTCTTTATCCTCACTTCACTTATTTT